CTACCCGTGCCGTTGATGATATCCGATTTCCTGAAAATCAATCTGTTTGCCTCTTTGCTCCGAAAACTATCATTTAATGATACAGTCGTTCTCTCATTTTCGATGTAATTACATAACATTTTTGAAATAACTCCGATCTAATTCGTGGTTGCAATTACCAAAATAAAAAGCGGGATTATCAAATTTTCAATGAATTAATGAACAAATTTTCGATTGAAGAAAATAGAAATAGATCTCGGGCGTACAAGAAATGTCTTCGTGCCACGAACTTTATTTTTATACATTACTATTCAATGCATATTGCGACAAAGTTTAGTTTGCATGGACGGAAGTAGCATAGTTCGTCTGTCAACGAGTGTCTCTAGATGCAACGAGATGCAATGACCGTCCGCTCGTTTTCGCCGCCGTTCGGGGATGACACCTGTCAAACTTCATCAGTATTGCTTAACACCCGGTCGCGCTACGGCGCAAATTAATCCCGCTGCAATATGGAAATATGTCATTCGAGAGAGATACGGCGGATGTCTGGCTAGACAGAACGGGCCAAGGGGCAAGAAGCGCAGACGCAAGCGTGGGCAGGATACGACCTCGGCCACGCAGCCGTGTGATTGGTTTATAGATTACCGTGCATTTGTACGTGAACGACAATGTGATGAGCCTCATCATGCTTATTCGCCTACGCAGAATATTTTTGCGCGGGAGTGAATTTCAGAAGCAACCGGTGAGTTTCAGTCCTGATTAACAATCTGCATATTGGCGCACGATTTATAGACCGTCTTTTATTTCATTGTAATTCATGAAAATGCTTATTTGTTAATCTTTCCTTATATCTCTGTCCGTTTATAATCCGAAAACAAAGTCGTAAAGTAGGGTGTGCTCGATGTTAAAGCGGTGATCCATTTTCGCGAGACAGTCCAATTCCCACGAGTATCAGGAAGCGAGACATCGCGAGCTTACAGTTCTCGTCGGGCCGGGCTCGTTCAATCAGCATATCCCAGCAAATGAGCAATAGATCGGTGACATGCGTACACCCAAGCTGTGTGCGCTGCGTACATATACGGACAGGCATGTCCCGGTGTGTACACGCACGCGCGCATAATCCACAGCGTGACTATTAGTCGTAAGTCAATAATAAAGCCCTTGTCCTGCAGCAGCTATAATGGCCGCGGTGAATTATTCTGGTCGGGATGCATTGTCCTGGTCGGATCGCCGGCCGGCTTGGAATTGTCGGCGAGGCACGCACACGGCGATATACGCGGCCGCATATGTGCGCGCCAAATGCACGGCTGTTTGCGCGTATGACGCGCATAATTGAGATGGATGTCGATTGATTCGCGGCCGGGTTTCGTTCGCGCGGTCTGCCCATTGGCAGCTTATTGTTAACACTCAAGTAGTAAGCTCGATATCCAGATGATTTCAGCATACGCATCGTTATTCATCTTACGACGGCGAGAATGAATCGATATATTTTCATCATTTTTATTGAAATTTACTTGTTTAAAAAAATATAAGTGCTTGAATTTTTACGAAGAATTTTTTTCTTTCACTCCAACGAATAGACAACTATAATTTTTTTTCATCTGATTTTTTAGTAAGCGGTGTCTTAATCCATATTTACACAGAAATTCACCGCAACAAAGTAAATTGAAAAAAACGAGGAACAAGGCAAACAAATAAAGAAACTACACTTAAATTTATAAGTATGGGCATCAATTTGAGTGCTGCGCAACTCTCTTCTTAAATATTAACTGAACTCGCTTTACGAACTATTGCAGAAAATGCTTTCAAGTACGTCGTTTCCCACGAAGTAAGTTTTGAAAACCATGATATTACTCGCGTCGTGGAAACGCAGGCTGTGAGTTTTCCGCTTCGTCGTATATTGTTTCCGATAAATTGTTCGCTATACTCGCGAACCGCGTGTGCCCGCGTGATGGAATACGTGAAAAGAAAGTTTCGCACAAATTGCGCGCTCGAGAAACGAGTGTTCGAAAGGATTCTGTCGCGCTTCCTTCTGTCTCTTCCCATTATTTCCTGCTCGAAGAGATAAACTCGGTTATCTGACATACGTTTCTCGATATCGCTTCTTACTCGTAATTTCTATATTTCCCGCGCACGTTGAAAGCAGATCCGTAACAACTTTCGTATCAATCTGAAATTTTATCAAAGTTTACTGTGTGGACTTTATCAAATAACCGGCCAATAGGATTTACCATCACAATTACAGATCCCGTTAATGTTTGACTGGTTGAAGTGTTAATAATTGAAATTGCGCTTATGGCTTGCTCTTCGCAAACAGTGTAACTGCAATTTCGAAAATTAATCGTATTTTCTTTAGCCGGCGGACATCCTTGCTAACTTACAACTCAAACATATAGACATCACTTGCCCGCGGGATGTATTTATGGAGATGCTGGCCGATGGAACGTGCAAACATAGCGCATCAAGCGAATTATGTCACCGCTAAAATTACCGTCATCAACAGATGGATACTGTGATAAATGTCTACCCGAATCCGATGTGGTTCGCGATCATTTCGCTTGTCAATAAGAGAATGACATGTAAAAATCAACGTATTTCCGATCATACATTTTATATCTATCTCTGCACGTACGTTGCACATACGAGTTGTTGAACAAAACATTGATAAGCTGTATTCCCACCATTTTAAAAGCGTTTTGAAATCCATTTTAAAATCCAGCTTTTGCTCCAGCTTGTAATACTACAAAAAGCAGAAACAACAATCTTTTGCTGCACGGAAATAACAGCACACAGAAACTGTTACATACATCAATTTTTTGGCCTCTTTTTTTCTCTGATAATCATTGTTGCTTTTGATCGCTCAGCACCAAAAAGAAACGTTCATTGTTACGATCGTTCATTGATAGTCTGATATCGATAGTGGGACTTTGGAAGGGCGGAGATCAGCGCCATCGATCCTCGCGATTCTACAAAAACGTCAAAGAGATCGCCGGTTCGATGATGAACGATTGTAGGTTGTCCGCTGGAATGGCGGCGGTGCGGTGGTCTTTAAAATATTCAAGCGAGAGTGCGTTTGACGGCCAATCGGAAAGGACGAAAAGTCGCGCTGGACTCGCCGGGACTCGCTCTTTCGAATTCGGCTCTTTCATCCTGTGAAACTCATCCCCAGAAATTCAGCTGGTACGCAGTCGGTTCGATGGATCGCGAAGGGGTGAAGAGAGGGGCGGTAGAGAGAGAGAGAGAGAGAGAGAGAGAGAGAGAGAGAGAGAGAGAGAGAGAGAGAGAGAGAGAGAGAGAGACGTA